TCCCACACACAGGCTGACAAAGGTGAATGGCAGTCTCGTCAAATCGGCCCTTGGCAGAGGCACTCGGGGAGTTCTTATTTACCAGCCCCCGCAGACCCGTCTGTCTGTCCACAGCAGCTCTAGCCGCTGATTGGGGAAGCCTGAGCCAGGCAACCAGGGGGTCCTGCAGATTGGAGTCAGCTTGCTCAACTGTCAGCTAGAGAGACGGGGATATTGAATTCATCAGTCATGCTGACAAGGGGTACGAGTGGGGGCAGGAGCTCCCAGCGTACTGAGGAAACCCGGAGCGCAGGGAAGCTGGCAAGAATAACGAGCTTGGTTTTGAGCAGGGTGACCCCTTGAGCCAGCTTAGCAGTTCATAGATTCCTGGGTTTTCTTTCAAATTGCACTAAATGATGAATGGATAATGCTGGCCTTGGTCTTCATTCAACTCTTCTTTTAAAAAGCTGTGAACACTTATATGCCGTTTTTGTGATTTTTTAAAAATATATTCTTTATGCCGTATATTCTGTTACTCTCTGGGCAAGGGGCAAGAAATTGGAATTTATTTCCCACCTGTTTCACGGCATGCTTGTGTGTGCAGCTACCATTTCATGCACTTCTCTGAGATTGGACATGAATATTTCCCCAATTGTAGACAAGGAACGAGGGACAGAGAGGAGACTAGCAAGCCAAGTCCTCTCACGAGACAGAGAAAGAAGCAGGATTTCTACTGAAAGCTAAGCAACACTCAAGTGGGGTCAGCCCAAGTGCCACCCGCTGGACCTTGGCTCCGAAAAGCAGAAACAAAAAAACTAGTTTGGTCCATTGTTCACTTGTTGATAAGAATGAAAATCTTTTCACTGGTTAATTTTAAACTGGGTTGTTTCTCTCTCTGCATGTTGGCTTGAGTCCTGTTCAGACACCAAGTGAACCCTGCAGGTCAGTTACCTTAAGTCCTTGGGGCCAGAAGGAGCACTAGTCTAATGCTTCTCTTTAGGAGACCCTCACAAAGACTGCCCAGGACTGGTCCACACTAGTGACCATGAGGTTCCATGTGCTGGATTCTCAGAACCAGGACCAACTTGGAGGTTCTTATTTGTCCAATGGCGGTGTTGCCCCTATCTGGCTTGAAGGGAGAGGTGAGAAGAAAGGTTTTACAGTAGGGATGAGAACTGACCTAAGGTACCTGCAGCTGTGATGCCTTGGAATTCTGCAGGTCAAAGTTTGTCTCCCCTTCTCCTGTTCCAGCCTGGCTCCCATGTCCAAAGACTGCATGCCACTATCAGGTTAATGATCCCTGATTACAGATGAGGAAGGGACTGAGTTCAATCCATCAGGGGTTGTATCTTGTGGCTGCTAGTTTTTATATCCACTTGACACAAGCTAGCATCATCTGAGAAGAGGAAACCTCAATTTAAAAATTGCCTCCATAAGCTCTGGCTTCAAGCAAGCTTGTTGGGTGTTTTTCTTAATTGGTGGTTGATGTGGGATGGCCCAGCCCACTGTGAGTGGGGTCATTGCTGGGCTGGTGGTCCTGGGTTCTGTAAGAACACAGCAGAACAAGCCACGAGGAGCAAGCGATTAAGCAGCACCCTCCATGGCCTGTGCATCAGCCCCTGCCTCCGGGTTCCTGTCCTGACTTCGTTCCGTGATGAACAGTGATGTGGAAAAGTAAGCCAAATGAACCCTTTCCTCCCAACGTGCTTTACGGCAGCAACAGTAACTAGGACAAGTCTTCCCTCCATGATCCTTGCTTTGTAGTCAACTCCCTACCGCCATCCTGTTCATCATTTCCTTCTCTGTACCGAAAGTACTGGAAAGCTATTCTGCTCTATAAAGTTGTTTTAGGCAGAGAGAACAATATAAGCCTGGACATGAAGATAGCAACAGCCTTGGCCTTAAAGACCTGGAGTTTAAGGCTACAGTTCAAGTCCCATGCCCCCAACTTCCTAGCTGGTTAACAGATTTGTGTGACATTTGCAGGCACCGATACCTCTTAGCTTAGTTATACAATAGGGTGGTAGTACCTTCGCCATCTGCCCTACAGAGAGACCATGGGAATCAGAGAAGATAATAAACAATTATGTTCGCAGATTTAAAAAGACGGTACACTGCCTTAGTTCATTTTCTGCTGTTGTCCTAAAATATTGGAGGTTGGGTTTCTGTTAAAGAAGAAGATTTAATTTTGTTCACCATTTGAGGGTCTAAGGGGTTAAGATCAAGTACTCCCAGGTGTCTGACCATCTGCCAGGGCCTCGTGCTAGATACATGGAAATGGCAAGAGTATGTCCAGAATGCATCTAGTGAGACGGGACACTATCTCACAACACTCTCTGAGAGAGACTAATCAGGGTCTTGTGACAACCACATCAGTCCCCATGACTGAACACCTGCCATGACGCCCTGTATTGTAAAGGTTCCAACGCTTCTTAGATAACTTCACCCAAAACAAGATCTCCAACACGTGAGCCACCTCAGGAGCCACGGGGAGACACACTCAACCCCTATCCCAGAAAGAGCATCTGCATTTCAAGCGTGGTCCTTTTTATCCTAGATGTTTGCTTCCCTGTTGTCCCATTTTAAATGAGAAAGGGACCCAGACACTCACTGTTGTTTCCTTTTGTTGCTGTTTAAATGGTAGGAAACCCGACACCTGTCATGGAAGCCCAGAGGGAGCTCTTGCTCAAGTGTCACGGTGTAGTTCAACCAAAGTATTTCCAGATGACACCATGGAATGGCACACCCCTAAACTCCCTCCTTATCTATACTTAATCTCTAGATACCCCGGGGGAGGAGGTTAACACTTTGCTGATCTTACAGCCAAGCAGTCTAGGACTTGCATGGACAGTGACAGAGATGTCAGCAGGGTGAAACCAACGAATGAATTTTGCCCGATCACTTAAGCCAGATGTGGATACACACCTCAGAGGGAAGAAAAGAGGGGGCGAAACATTTTGGCCTGTCTCTGCTGTGTCACGGTCCACTCTTCTAAGATCATCGACATGTCTCGTGAAATTTTTGTGAAATGGTATCTTTGTGTCCTTGGGGTTTGAGCATTCCTGAGTAATCATGTCCTTCTTTGGGAGCAAGACTTACTTCACGAATTCTTGTGCAACTGTTCTTGATCTAGAGGCTGTAGCATTGAATTTTCAAAATAACTGTGGTGCATTTGCCATGCATTTCCAGCTTTTTAGATGTGCAAAGTGACTCTGAGAGAACCGAAGGTTGATTGTCCAAGCTCTCAGGGTTAACAGAACCAAAACTAGAACAAAGAAGTCACGGAGGCAGTCTCTGTGGAACACACATGTCATCCGCTAAACCCCTCCTTTGAGGCTCTAACTGGAAGAAGCCCTGGAGGTTGGGATGGATGCAGATGACATCTAAGGGGGAGGGTGGGAAGGAGTTGGTTTTCATACACTGTGAACCATGTGATTCATGAATGTGCCCACTGGACAGATGTTCACTGGTGGGCAGTAGGTGTCAGCCAGTGCTCTGGGTGCAGAAACAATGTGAATGAGCCCCTCCCCCAAAATGGAGGACACAGATCAGAAGGAAACCTCTCCATATAGTTAAAAAATACATCGACCAACACTTATGTCGAGTATTTGGGAACACAGAGAAGCTTGGGCAATGGAAAATGCAGCAAAGGAGAAGTCAGCAAGACTTCTGGAAGGAATTGTTACATGAAAAGTCTTAAGATTCAGGTGTGGTTTAGCCAGGCTCTATGAAGTCAAGTCCAGAGGCCAATCAGAGCTGAAAGGGTGTAACGCAGTAGGAAAACATGGGGAGTCCTAAAACAAGGAGTGAGATATTTTGACCTAAAAATGTCATCAAATATTTTCATTATCTTAGTAGGTGATTGTGTAGACAAAGACTCAAAAACTCACAGTGTTTTAATGTGAAGTAGTTTTCTTCTCTAGGTAGACTCTGTCTGGGTAGATGTTTGATATTCACAGTGGATCCCACAGTGACAGGAGGAGGAACCTTGTAGGGTTGATCAATTAAAGCCAAAATCAAGAGAAAACTCGAGCTAATGGTCATCCAGAATCATTTTAAATTTGGTAACCCTGCGCACAGTTTTAGCACCATCTTCCTGCCACTCCCCACCTCATCTGGGGAAAATGTTGGCCTTGAAAGAAAAGAGAAGCTGAGGTGAAGAAGAGCACTAAATTCTATGCATCTGCCTGGTTACCCATTCGTCATGTGATAATTACCTCAGCCTAGGTAGGTCCTTTGAAAACTCAGCTTCACTGAAGTAAAATTTGGAAACTAGCAAATGCACAAAATTTGATGGATTTTAACAAACATATATTTGTTATATATATAGTTCTACAACTATTGCCACTATGAAGTTATATTTCCATCACCTCAAGTTTACTTCCGTCCCTTCCAAATCTAGCCTCTTCTTTCCCACACCATCTATACCACCTCAAACTTTACAACCACTGGCATCCCTTCTGCCAGGACAAATGGGCTGATATGGAATGTCTTCATAGTCTATTCTTGGAATGCTGTTAGGTCCTTCCACGTAGTTGAATACTTCACTCATTCATTCCTTTGCAGTGCTGATTAGATTCCATTGAACGAATGCACCAAAGTTTATCTGCTTACCTGTTGGAGGCAGACATCATGATATGTTATGGATATTAGTATTCATAACACTTTATGTGGACAAGTGGCTATTTTATTTTCAATAAAGACATGTGACTAGAATTGCCCACTTGCACGCACAATAAATGTATGATTAACTTTGTAACAGGTCACAGCATTTTCCCGGGTGTTCCATTGAATAGTCTTATCAGCAATCTACAGCATCCTCATTTACAGCTTCTTCACATCTGACGTCAATCCTTCCGTTATTCACTGTTCTGAAGTCTGCAGTGAACTCTACGTTTCACTTTACCTTTCCTCTAATTCCTAGTGATTTTCATTGAGTCTTTTGAACCACACACTGGGAAAACGACAGCAAATTATTCTTTACTCTTCGGAGAAGAACAGTCCATTACTAGGGTACAATGGCCAAATATTTATTCCTTCACTCCTCCAGTATCGTCACAAGGCACCATGGTATAAATCGGAAACACAGGATGATCTGAGAAAAACGAAATCTTTGACTAGAACATGAGGGTAAAGAAAAAAATCACCCTGAGTCTCAGTGTGCTCCCAGCCTCTGATCTGTTTGCATAGCTGTTGACTCTAAGCTTTTACTTCTCCTTTTATTGAATTGGTGGTAATTGGATTGAATTGCACAACTTCTTTATTCTACATAAAAGACCTTTTTGAAGAACATATTCCTTGGTAGTTTTCTCATCATTTTTAGCAATATTTACAGAGGAACAGAAATTTTAATGTTTAGAAAATTCAACTTATTACTTTTTCCTTTGAAGTCAGTCTCATGGTTTTGTGTCCTAAGAAGCCATCGCCTGTCATATTGTAAGGATTTTCTCTTGGTTTCTTCTCATTTTATAATTTTAGGTTTTACATTTGGGCTTTTTATTCATTTGGACTACTGACTGTGCATGGTATTATAAAGGAAAGATCAAGGTTAATTTTTCTCCACATGAGCACCCAATTATCCCAACATTTGTTGAAAAGACTGTTATTTTTTTTCTCTTGAATTACCTTGGCACCTTTACAAAACAGTGACTGACTGTGGTCATTTCAGGACTCTGTACTTTGGTCCAGTGAAATGTATGTCTTTCCCTATTCCCAAACCACACAACTCATTATATCATAAAATCATAGAAAGTTGTCCAATCTTGCTCACGAAACAAAAATAAAAGAAAAAGAAAGAAAGAAACATTTTGGCTATTCAAGAAGATCCCTTATACTTCCATATGTACCTTGTCAGACTCTACAAAGTTTCTGCTCGTTTTCACTGAAACTGCACTATAGCTATAGATGAACTGGAGGAAAAATAATGTCTTAATAATTCGAAGTTTTTCATCCTATAAAGCTTGTATAATTTCCCACTTAATAATATTGTGGTTTTATTGTCTCAGTTTCACACATATTTGACTTATCAATAAGAATGTCATAATTTTAATATAATTATAAACAGATTTATTTTTAATCATTTTAATTTTCAACTTTTATTTGATAGCATGTGAAAAATAATCATTTTAGTTGATCTTTATTTTATGGCCATCTTAAATTTATATTTTAGTTACTCTGTGCACTCCTTATCAATTTCCAAGATGATCATATACTGTATGAATACAGATAGTTGGATTTTTTTTACTGTATAATACATAGGTTATTTTTAAATTTCTTTTCATTGCTTTACTGCTTTGAGTATGAATTCCAATATAAAGCTGAACAGACATGACAAGGGCTGGTATTGACTTCGCGCAATCTTAGTAAAAAATATATCAGTCCCTTATTTTTACATATATTAACTATAATTCTTTTAAGATAAGCCTTGCCTTAGTTTGAAAATCTTGAACAAATATAGACTGAGTGGTTTATAAGCAACAATGTTTTTTCCCAGAGTTCTGGAGGCTGAAATGATGTAAACATAACAATCTTGTATTGAGAACCCTCTTTTAATCCATAGGCTCCTGACACTGGGTACTAGAATGCTGAGGTTCCATTGAGGGCCTTCTTCTAGTCTGCAGACTCCTGAATTCTCATTATGTCCTCACACCATGGAAAGAAATTGAACTATCTTTCTGGTCTTTTCTTTCTCCATTAAGAGTATTGTTCTAAAATCTCTTTTATTTTATTCTAAATAGCCACTTACCTTTAGTGATCTTTAAATATTGTTTTTATATTTCAAATGTTGTAACAGCAGGTAGATATGTTATGCATTTTTTAACCTAGTCTGGCTATCTCTGCCTTTAAGGATATAATTTATGTCATTCACATTTAATACAATTATTGGTTATAGCTAGGTTTAAATCTACCATCTCATTGTTTCTTTTGTTTTGGTTTTATTTTATGCCATACTTTATCTTTTAGCTTTTTACTTTGCTAAGATGACTGGGGTTTTTTCCTTAAAGATTTGTATAGATTTATGTTGTGTTTTCAGTTCTTTTTAATAAATTTCTTCATCTTCTCAAGAAGAATTTAACTGTCAGAATTATTTAGATTTCTGTCTACCCTAAGCCTTAAACTTTCTGAATTCTCTTCAGATGACTTAAATCTTAAGATATTGCTTCCCTATCTTGACCTTCCTTCCTTCCTTCCTTTCTTCTTTTATTTTTGAGATTATAATATAATTACATCATTTACCCCTTCCTTTTCCTCCCTTCAAACAATCCCATATATTCCACCTTCCTCTCTTTCAAACTCATGGACTCTTTTTTAACCTCTTATATATTTATAATTAAAATATAGTTATATTTCCCCCTCCCATTTCCTTCTCCAATCCTTCCCAAGTCCCTACCCTCTAACTTCTTTCATGTCTCCCCTTCCTCTCAAATTGATAGTCCCACTTCTCCGATTATTGTTGATATATGCATATGTATGTGGATTTATGCACAAATATATACAAATACAACCTGCTAAGTCTTTTTTGTTGTTGCTATTGTCTGTGTGTATATGTTTTCAGGGATAACTGCTTTGTACTGACAACCAGTTATGAGACCCATCCCTGGGAGAGGCTCATCTTACCTTTCTCACCAGTCATCAGCCTCCTACACTTTCTGTTCCAGGGGTGTGACCCTGTGAGAGACCCCTGCTTCTACATTAGCACTTCTATCTCTTCTTTATGCAAATATTTCTATGAACGACTGTTTCATAGCAAACTGCTTGGTACTCTGGCTCTTAGAATCTGTCTTCCCTCTCTTCCATGATAGTCCTTGATCTGTAAATGCAGGAGCTGTGGTGTAGATGTACCTGTTGGCGCTCGGCTCCCTATGTTGCCCTAATCTCTGCATTGGGTCCAGTTGTGGTTTTCTGTGATGGTCTCCATTTGCTTTATGGGTATCTTGCCATGCTGGCCATTGTTGTGGTTTGTAGGTTTCACACCTATATAAAACTATTTATTTCTTTGCTACTTGGTAGATTGCATAGTAATTGGGGTATCATGAAAGCTAGACAGTAAGAAAGAGGCATTTGGGTTAGATCCAGCTCAAATAATCCAAGTAGCCCTATTTACTAAGTGTATGGTATCTTCAGGGATGGGGCTTACCTTCAACCTCTGATCAACCATTCTAAAGCCTGTTTCTCATACCTGGCACTGGAGTGGTTCTTGTGCAGAACATTGCCATTCCTTAGAGACTTGGCTTCTATATTTATATGGGAAATCTCTCAAGAGAATTCATCAGACAAAAATGAAAACAAGGTGATGAGGTACTAAATGTGTCTAGACAAATAGCTGAAGGATAACAAAGTAGTACTTATTTTGGATATATGTTAAAGTAATGTTTTCTCATTTAAAAATTTCTTTAACAGAAAATTGATTATTTTAAGTAAAAACAGTAATAATTATTATGAATTTATAATGACTCTATAAAGGACAGGTATAAGAGAAGAAACTAAAAGGCTTAAATGATCTTATATCATACTTGAAGTGGAGCACTATTTTATGTAGACTATATTAAAGATATGTATATTAGAAACCCTAATTTAGTGACTAAAAAAAATTGAAGTATTTTAGCCAAAAAAAATCCAAAGATGGCCATAAAATGTAATCTTGAAGAAATATTGAAATTATTGAAAGAGTAAAATCCACAAACAAAATAAACAAAAAGGGGGAAAGATGAACAAAGAAGAGTTTAAATGAAAAATAAACAACATACTTAAAATTTGTTCCCTTTAGGTACTTGCCAAGTGCCCCAGCTAACAACCAAGGCTTTTCCAGCCTGAGTATCTGGAGTTTGACTGTTTCCTGTGAGCTGGGAATTGACCTGACTATAAAACCTGGTTTCTCTTGCTTGGTTTTATTCTATGCAATCATGATTTTTTTTAATTTTAATATTCTGGACATACAGAAGTAAATGCGAATATGAAAACTTTAAGATTTGATTTGTACAGCCTGGTCTACAAGCGGTAGTTCCAGGACAGGCTCCAGAGAAACCCTGTCTCAAAAAAATCAAAAAAAAAAAAAATGATTTGTAATGTAACACCTCTCTCTTATTTCAATGTCAATTAAAAAAACAAAACAAAATAAAGCACACCAACCACTATGAAAACAGGCCAACTAAGATGGTAAAAGAACGAAAAATGAAACTCTTCGTAATAAAGTACATCCAGCTGTGAAGAGAGCTGCTCCTGGTGTCTTCACACCCTTCACTTCTGTGTACTTATAAACAGTACATTGTTTCTGTGATGGTCTGCTCTGACCCTTTAAGAGACAAGCCACACCTATTCCCTCCCCCCTAATCTTCTGCTTCCAGCCTGAGTCTCTTCCTTTTCCATCTCCCTGTCAAAGAGGCAGCATCTGTCTCTCCCTTCTCCCCTTCCCCCTTCTGTTTCTCTCTCTCTCTCTCTCTCTCTCTCTCTCTCTCTCTCTCTCTCCCCCCCCCTGATGTTCCCCCTTCTCTCTTTCCCTCCCATAACCCACTAATATCCAACTTCACTCTGCATAGAATGCCTATCCAGCTTTCTCTTGCCTGCCACATGACTCCCTGTCCCTGTCCCGACCAGCCGAGACCTGCGGCATGGTCTCATGGCATGCTCATCTGTCTGTCTCTCTGCCTGGGACTCGCTGCCCCTGTGTCTTAGCTGCCTGGGACTAGGTGCTCTCGGGACCCAATGCCTGCTGCCTGCCCCCGCTTGGAGACCTGCAGTGTGGTCTCATGGCCCACTGACCACTGCACCCACTGGGGGATCTGCAGCATTTTATTTTTACTACCATTACAGTTTCTTCGCATGAATGCATCCCCGTACTTATTCTTCAGCCGTCCATTTACATACTCTTCTCTTCTGTCTGTTCCAGTGCTATATTCATGGAGCCATCCAGGCAGGGCAGAACTTAGTTTCACCACGATTGTCTGTCTAACGATCTGCCTTAAGGTATATCCAAAGGATGCTCAATCGTGCTACAAGGACATGCTCAACTATGTTCATAGCAGCTTTGTTTGTCATAGCCAGAACCTGGAAACAACCTAAATGCCCCTTGACCAAAGAATGGATAAGGAAAATGTG